TTTTTTAAATGACAGGGGGCGGTCCAAAAAAACTAAGTAAAATCAGACGAATAAAAAGATAATCATTATCATTGAAGATGTTTTTGGGGGCCTCTTTTTTGTTTTAACAAACTTATCCCTCAGAGTTTTTCTAAAGTTTTACAAAAACTTTCCTCCTTTCCCATGGCTGTTGCAATTTCTAGCCTATAATTATTGGTCATTCTGGCAAACAGAAATGTAACTGTGATAAAAAATAGGTAAAAACTTGATTAGGTATTATAGCCTACTTTACTATTCACTCTTCAAATAAATCCCACTATCAATCCCATTTTATCACTAAAATAAAGTGAACTATTGTCTGCTGTATTGCTCTAGTGTTCTAGTACAGTAAAGTATTTCAATTACTCTGTTGTGGTAATACTATAGTTGCTATGGTAACACAACAAGTGTATTAAAAACAAACTACCCAGTGCTTTAATTTTTTTTTACAATATAGGGTATATTATTCTACAATTCACCACACTTTACTGTAGTAAAACTACACTGTATTTGATTTTATCAGTTCACTATTGTTAATACTACAGTATGCTGAAGCATCTCTGGAAAAGCACGAAAGGAGTCCAGCGGAGCGAGAGCAGATCATTCGCGCGTGTGCAGCCAGTGTTTTGAGAGCTCGCAAGCAGTTTTGTCCATGAACAAAGGAAATCGGCACGTGAGCAGAGATTCGCTCTCTCGTATTACAGCGCTCCCGACTTATAAAACTGCGACATTTGTCAGTGAAATAACGGCATACTCTGCCGGCCGAAATCATGTCGTGCGCACTTAAAGCGAACTTCTGCAAACACAGCAATGATGTCACATTCGCCGCGCGCACTGAGTTTAATATCAGAAAGCTGATTGGCTATTGCAAGTTGAATTTTTTGTAGTTGTAATACTGCTAATTACAATTGGACTAGTGAAATAAAGAACTACAACACCCCAACACACCAGGCAACAACAACAAAAAGAATTTAAATGAGCATTAGATGTAGCGTTACATGGACATCGCAAAAATAAGACCTGTGTAAAAATATTTAAGACCTAGAACAGCAAATTTAAGACTTTTTAAAGCCATAAATTTTGATTTTTTAATTTAAGACTTTTTAATACTTTTTAAGACCCCGCGGGGACCCTGTAAATTACATGACATTGAACTCTCATTTTGATTGTAATAATGTGCAACTTTTGTAATGTGGCTACAGGGCACCGGAGGTCGCATTTTAGTCACGGACGCACTTTGAGAGCCTTCCTGACTGAATTAATTAAATACGCTGTTTTCCATAAGGCAATTCGGGGTGCTGAAATATAATTGGCTAAAGTGGCATTGGGCGGGTTAAAAGAACCAAAACAAAGACAGCCATACAGTCCAAAGACATGCGGTACAGGTGAATTGGGTAGGCTAAATTGTCCGTAGTGTATGAGTGTGTGTGTGAACGTGTGTGTGTGGATGTTTCCCAGAGATAGGTTGTGGCTGGAAGGGCATCCGCTGCGTAAAAACTTGCTGGATAAGTTGGTGGTTCATTCCGCTGTGGCAACCCCGGATTAATAAAGGGACTAAGCTGACAAGAAAATGAATGAATGAATGTTCATATAGTAGGAGCAATAACCTAAATTAGTCTTTGTTTGCTTTATTCACATTGTTTTATTTTTTATTTTTGGTGATGAACATGACCTGACCATGACTCGGTCTAGATTTTGACAGGCTGCTTTTAAATGAATCACTTCAGAAAGTTAACAATAGTGATTTTTTTTTTTTGAGCTGATCAGATGATGAACACTGAAGAACACAGACAGTCTCCCAGTCTCCCACTGGCAGGTATGAAGAGAGAAACACTGATCTTTTGTGTTTAAAACAGCAGACTCACAGCCAAACTCATCAAAGCCATGCATATTCATGAGGCTCTCACCCACGCTTATTTTAATTGCAAATTAAGGGAAGAAAGGAGTCTTTAATTTGACTGTTCTTGTCCAGGTTTTCACTAAATTGAGTGTAAACTTGGGTTATGGTTGAACTCGAGAGAGAGAGAGAGAGAGAGAGAGAGAGATCATACCAGGTTTAACAGGTTAGCATGGATTTCTAGCTTCTTTACTAGAGGAAAGTTTCCATGATATAATAATATTGGCGACCGTGAAGCAGTTAAAATACAAAAGTGGCAACATCTGTTTCAACTAAACAGAAAGGTTTGCTTATCTCGCTTCAGTTTTATTGCTGTAGTGCAAAATGACTAACATTTAATGACAAACTGCCATAAATGTTGTAAGTGCCTCTCCGTAATGTATTAATAATAATTTTTTATTATTATTATCATATTAATTAAAATAATCTATTCGTCAAAAGTAAAATGACTGAGACTCCACACTTGAGTCTGAAAAAATGCTAATTTTAGAAGAGAATATTAAATGCCATTTAGAGGTTTTTGCATCTAAACTCCTCGTATTTCATTCATAACATATATTGTCATTAATTACCCCTAATGTTTACCATAGAATGGTATTCTATATTGATAATATATTTGCACGGCATGGTTCAGGTTCAGTGCGGCTCACTTTTGAAGGATTTTCCACTGCACACCTGTTACTTTTTTTAAGTAATACCTCAGGAGAGGTTTTAGTACCATAACCAAAATATGACATATATGCACTGCTGATCACTGATTGGTCAAAGAGAATCGTCACAACCAGCATTATTGAATTTAAGATACAAAACACGCTATATTCAAATCAGGGTTCCTGTTTTTTCATGGACACCAGATTCAAGGACTTTTTAAATCACTAATAATTTTAGATCAAACGACTATAATTCACATCACCAGCATATCTAGTGCCATGAAAGTCTGTCTGTACAAAGTTTCACCTACACTTAATATTTACATTAACATGATCAGAGAAATAATGATGTTATGATTGTGTCATGTTTAATAATGTAGACTGTTTTAAACAATCATGTTCAAAGAACTTGAATAAAATTCTTTGAATTTAACACTGTTTATATTTAAATGTGGTTTCTGAAGTATTGATAAATGTGCTTTTTCGTCATAGTTCTTAAGCAAGATTTAAATGTAAGAATGAATTTCTCAGTTTTTCATTCAGTTTTGGAAAGCAGCACAATACAAATGTTGAAATAACATTATAAACTTCAAAGAATCAGGACACCCTGGAGTACTTTTTTGAGATCTTAACATATTTTTGTGTGTTGAGCATTAATTAAGACAATGTTAGCACATGTCAGCTTTAATAGTGTGGAAAACTGGATAATTTGAGAGGGTGCTCGCTGCAGAGCCATTTGAGGAGAGGTGAGCTCCAGAGAGGGGGAGCATGAGCTGTCGCTCCTCCTCCTGTAAGCTGTTTAAATGCGTACACCAACCCCACCCCTAACCCTACCCCCAGTGACATCACTCGTAGAAGAAGTGCAAAAAAGGTGGAGCTTAAGCTTAAGCTCCCCCTCTCTGGAGCTCACCTCTCCTCAAATGGCTCTGCAGCGAGCACCACTTGGATAATTTTGAGCTTTTGTCAGCTAATTTCATCTTCCGGGTTTAAAGTAATTTTTTGGGGTAGAATCAAAATCAGTGATGTTGCACGAATCTCCTAATGGAGTGATGACACGTCAATTTCTCATTATTATTCATAGGGGAGTTTTCCTATCCTATGAGAAGACCCTGCTTCTTAATTATTCACGAGTGCATGTGCTTTCCGAAGGCAAGACAGACCTGCCAAGCTGTGAGACACGATGACGGGATGAGACCGCGTCTGCACGGCACGGATCGTATGTGTTTGTTTTCATGATCCGCAGGGTTTGTTGCATGTTTTTCCCTGTGATTCTGTCAGGCCCAATACAGCAAAGCTGTGTGTTTGCTGCAAGCATTTTTGTCGAGAGAGCTGTACGAGAATTGGAGAATGGAGGACTTTGTCTTTTATCGGTTGGTTGAGTTTGTTACCATTCAGACACATTGCCTATATCTGTGCTGGTGTGTTCACCCATGTTTAAAACTTCTTGATTACCGGCAGGGTTGGAATAGACAGGGAAAGACACACTGATGATATAACAAATTGTGGTTATGTGTATATGAAATCAAGAATAACAAATGTAGCTGGGCATTAAATTACTGTCTATTTCTTTGTATTTTAACTTTGTAAACTATAAAATCATGCATCTTCTCACGGTTTGTGTTGTGAGCCAACTGACAGTTGTTCACTTCCCTCTTTTACCCCTGCTCTGCTGGCCACGTCCACTCCTCCCTCTGCTTGCAGCCCTTTAACGCCATCCCGAATAGTTATTTAAAAACAATCTGAGGTAGACTTGAACCGAAAGGGGGGGTTTTATGGCCCTTTAAATTTAAGCACTTCCGAGAACCTACAGTATGGTTGTCTTTAAGTACTTTTTAATTCATGTGTCTGAAATTCAAGTACTTTTAAGAAGCGTGGGAACTCTGTTTAATGGTCAGCAGCAGCCACTGATCAAGACCATCAGCCATTGCCTCTCTGTTGTGGACTGGTTTGTGTGGCGCGTTTGTTCATGTCGCGTTTACAATGATGTCATGGCACTAGAAGCAGCGCAACTATAGCAATAATCCCAGCCACTTTAAGTCGTAGTAAACTGCAGGGGAAAATAAACCAAGGTTAGCAAAACCAAACCAATAAATCGATAGAGTTCCATCCAGTGGAAAACTTTTGGTGTTTTTATCAAAATCTAGCAACACCCCTGTGATCTTTAGAATCATATATGTTTTTTTTTTACTTTGGCAAAATGTGTGAACCTATATTTAATTAAACTGCATTATGCATGCTATCTCCCGTCCTCCATCACTTTAATATAACCACTAATTAGCATGTAGAAATTGATTTGTGCCATAATGCAGCTTTATTGAATAATACTATACAGTTGCTGGACAGAATGTGTGCATTAAAACATTAATTTGCAGTGCACACATCCTGTGGTCTGAAACCGAGAGGAAATGAAGCTTCAATATTTATCAGATCTTTACCTTCTTTGTTGCCTTCCTTGTTGTGTTTTTTCAGCCATTCGATGTTCTTCCTGATCGCCTCCAAATAACTCTCAGACTTCCCAGGATGACCTGAAAGACAGAAATTATTATTATTATTATTATTATTATTAATATTATTATTATTATTATTATACTTTAAATGATTCTTTCATATTTCTTCCTCTTTTTCTTATATAATTATAAAATTGTCTACTTTATATTTTTTACTACTAATACTATTATTATAAATATTATTACTAAACATAATAAATTATTATTATTATTATTATTATTATTATTATTATTATTATTGTATATAATAAATTATTATTATTTTATTTTTTATTATTTAAAATAATAAAAATAATAATAATAATAATAATAATTGTAATAATATTATAACTTAGTATATATATATATATATATTTATAGTCTGATGTTTCTCCAGGAGACCAGATGCATGCTTTTACGAAAGTATGGTGGTCAACAAATACTTATATTTGCTTCACAGACATAAGAAATATATCATCATAAAGTTTGAAATTTCTACATTTAAATTAGGGGTGCTAAATCCTGTTCCTGGAGAGCTACCCTCCTGCAGATTTCAGATGCTACCCATATCAAACACACCTGAACCAATTAATTAGGACCTGAACACCACTTGATAATTACAGGCAGGTGTGTTTGAGATGGGTAGCAACTGAAATCTGCAGGAAGGTAGATCTCCAGGAACAGGATTGAGCACCCCTGATTTAAATGAACCAGTGCACTTAGAAAAAAAAGTTTTAGGTTTTGTAATCTGTATGAAATGAACAGGAGGTCCAGTCCGTCCTATCAAATGCACATCACATGACAGCAGCTACTACTCAAATGGCCACACATGTGTAAACAAAGAGTCACTGTCATTTCTGGAGGAGATTCACCATTAAAACCAAGCTGTGGATTACTTTAGAAGACCAGTGTGACCAGACAATCATTATCCAGTGGATGATAGCGTGTAATGCTGCCATAAATGAGGTTGGTGTTGTGATCTCGTTTCTTTAGAGTGCATGTGCACATTAGCTTGGGCACCCTGAAAACCCATGCTGTTTTGTTTGATTCAGACATTTTGAAATCACACTTAAGAGACGGTTGTTGTTTAATTCTATTGGTGATTCCAAATATCTACTGTAATCGTAAGCTTAAAGAATTTGATGTTTCCCTATTCAGACAGAATGCCCGAGCATACTGCCCGAGAGGTGTTTCAAAGATGTCCGACGAGTGAAATAACTAGCCTTAAAAAGACTTTGATATTACTGAATGAATATTTGATGAATGAATTAAATGAATAGTTACACTGCAACAAAGACACCTTAGAGTGTAACCTAACTCTTTTATGCTCAAGTTTGCTTTCAGGAAATTCATTTTTTTGGCATTTCCATCAGTGTTTTCTGATGCAATACTTTAAAATGCGCATTAAAGCAGGGTGATGGAAGCATCGCTGCTGTGTGTTTCAGTTTTGCCCTCAATCTGTCGGCTGCTGCAGAGTCTCCTATGAGTTTTTCTCTGGATCACACACTATACTGCAGTACGACCATATGTTTTCAATGAAAATGCAGGTTAGTGTAGAACTGTGTATACTTTAGGATTTTTAAAAGATCTGTCTTAATTCTGTGACAAATCTGAGATTTTTATTTTTGTAAAGTGTTTTTTTTTCAGTCTAATAGAAAGCAAAACCTAAAAATACACTTTTAAGTGTTCTTTTATCACACTATCAAATCGTGTCTATAGATTTCAATTACAAACTTTTTAAAGGCTGCTTTCTTATAAAAATCCTTCATTGAGTGATAAGTCTCTACTTCAGCAGCACTTACATACACTAATAATACTTCATTCAGTCATTTTCCTTCAGCCACAGCGGCATGAACCGCCAACTTCTCCAGCATATGTTTTACACAGCAGATGCCCCTCCAGCTGCAACCCAGTACAGGGAAACATCCATACACATTCATTCACACACACTCATACACTACAGCCAATTTAGTTTATTCAGTTCACCTATAGTGTATGTCTTTGCACTGTGGGGGAAACAGGAGCTCCCGGAGGAAACCCACGCGAACACGGGGAGAACATGCAAACTCAACACAGAAATGCCAACTGATCCAGCCGGGACTCGAACCAGTGACCTTCTTGCTGTGAGACAACAGTGCTAATTATTGAACCACTGTGTCACCATCTAATAATAACACATTTTATTTTATAATAACTTATTTTATATAGCACATTTCTAGTGCTCCAGGACACTTTACAAGACAATAACAAAGCAAAAAAAAAAAAAAAAAAAAAAAAAAAAAAAAAAAAAAAACAGAACAAATAGCTAAATTTTTACTTTTTTATTCATATCTGTGTTCCGATCATTTTAATAAAGAGGGATATGTTTAAACATAATTTGTCTGATTATATACAACATTTTATTCTACAAACAGAATTTTGCAGTATTTCCTGAATGATTAATCCCAAAATCCCTTCTTTAATAACTTTTGACTCTAATATGTAATACGTAAATAATTGTAACCTGATTTCTCAGATTATTGTGCTACAAATGTATTTAAATGAGCACATATTTAATTAAATAGTGCCTCATTTGCATATTTAAACAATATTTTAAAAACCCTTTAATACAAAAAAAAGTTTGTAATTCTTAAATTAATAGTTTAGGCAAAAATAAAAATTGTAAACATTTACTTATTGTTGCAAACCTATTTGTGTTTTTTAGTTCAGTTGAAAAGAAAGCTGAAAAATGGAACCATTGACTTCTACTGTATTTGTTTATCCTACTATAGAAGTCAATAGCTACATGTTTTCATCTTTCTTCAGAAAGATCTTCTTTTGTGTTCAGCAGAAAAAAAAAAAAAAACTCATAAAGCTTTGGAATCCCTTGAGGGCAGGTAAATAGTAAGTACATTTTCGTTTTAGGGTGAACTATGCCTTGTTAAATGTTATTATTTAACTTGGGGAATGTGGTGACATATAAATACAGTTATAACAGTTCTGTCTAGTGCTCGAATCTGATTGGCTGACAGGCGTGTAATATTCTGTATAATATAAGAACTCATACAGCCTCTTCACCCTTCTGTATTACTTCACCCACATACAGTAGAGTGACAGCAGATCGATAAACTCAACACAGTTTGCATATATTGCAGCTTTTGGACAACATAATGTACTTTTGAGGCTTTTTAAGGTGAGAATGTAGTTGTTTAGATTGCAACTATGTAGTTTATTTACAAGAACAGTGCCTATTTTAAAATATTTATAATTTCAGTTTACATACGTTTTTGATGTTTCACTACAATATGGCAACAGAGACCGCATAATAAACACACAGAGGAGAATAACTCAGCGTAATTACAAACTACAGCAGATCAAATCATTGTAAAGCAGGTAAGTGACATTCGATTTCTCTCTTTTGTGTGTTGTAGTGCTGTATTTATACCATAGTCTGGTAGCATTTGCTTTGCTTTGGCTTTTTCAGGGTTAATTATTGTGGTCTCCTGATTGCAACAGAGAAATATTGTTACTTTTATTACTGGGAAATCTCTGTAGACTGATGGCATTTCATGCCGTTCAGCCTTATAATCTTAAAATGTGAGCAAAATCAGCTGTTTTGTCATCACTTTAGATTTTAGAGAATCATACAAACACTAGCTCTAAAGTGATGTTTGAAGTAGCAACAGTTTCTGCTGTTCTGACATCAGCTGCAGATGTGAATGAATGTTGGAAGAAAGTAGTTCCTCATACAAAAGGATTTTGAGACTCTCCGTGTTTGATTTCTTTGTTTATATACACAATTATGCCATCAAACTCTTGTATTAATGCAGTATCACATGAGTAGCAGTGATATGGCTGTATATCATCACTGGTGGGACACTAAGGCACTCAGCATGTGGCCTTGAGCCAACGCACATCTCCCGCCAGTGCCATACTGAAAGTGCAGTATGATGCTAGTATGAAATGTATGAACTCACTGATTTCCGCAGCAGTCTGGACATCTTTGGTCGAGTCTTTCAGGGACTCATACTCCTTCTGCATTTTGGCAGCTTCTGTTTTGGTGTTGTCATCATCATCTGCTGCTTTTCCTGGAATGAGGACGAGGGTGAAAAAAAAAGTCAGCATAGTGATGCCAAGTGTTTGTGAGCAGAGTCTGCAGTGGATGACTTGCATCTGTGATCTGGGCTGGTTAATGATGTACCTGTAGGTGGTGTAATGCTCAGAGGAACCAGAGATTTGCCAAGTTTGTTCTTGGTCTGCAGGGCAATCATGGCATCCAGGTTTTCTGTGTGAAAAACAGAATATGTATAAATGTAGAGATGGTGTTTTACATTTTTAAAACAGGCCACGAGGAATTAAAATACAATGTTTATTTAGCTAGTGCTCATTGTTATTCTTTAGTTTAACAGTTAATCGGTAAAGTCTAGATCGGATAGACAACCGACCGGAAGTATGATATTTACCTCAATATAGCAGCATTTTTTTTATGACACTGTTCAACAATAATAGATATTTTACAGTATTGTGATGGTTGGGTTTAGGGTGGGGGTAGATGTTAATAAAATTCAACAAATGAGAAACTTGAGAAAATAAGAAAATAATATAAATAATTCCAGTTACTTTCCAGCCGCAACCATATCTGATCAAGCAACAACCAAGTTAATCCTCAAGTTACTGATAACTGATAAAAAAAAAAGTTTGTTTTGGTAATATTTAATGAAAGTCTGATCGTTTGTTTCCACATTTGGAGTGGCTTTTTTTAGGTAAATTTTCATTCATACGTTTTCTTTTCGGCTTAGTCCCTTTATTAACGGAATGAACCGCCAACTTATCCAGCATATGTTTTATGCAGCGGATGCCCTTCCAGCTGCAACCCATCACTGGGAAACAAATACACACCCATTCACACACACTCATACACTACGATAAATTTTAGCCTACCCAATTCTCCTGTACCACATGTCTTTGGACTTGTGGGGGAAATCGGAGCACCCGAAGGAAACCCACACAAAAATAGGGAGAAATGCCACACAGAAATGCCAACAGACCCAACCGAGGCTCAAACCAGCGACCTTCTTGGTGTGAGGTGAATGTGCTACCCACTGCGCCACCGCATCGCCTAAGTTAGTTTTTTATACTTTTTAGGACAGTGAAGATTACAGACAGGACCGTGTAGGGAGGTGAAAAGGACCTCAAGCTGGGAATCAAACTTGGGTCACCACGAACACCTTAATGTTATGTGTCAACTCTCTAACTCTCTAATCACTAGGCTATTGGTGTCGAAAAATAAAGTAGTGACGGCAGGTTGAAGGAAAGTAGTGTAGTAAAAGTACCAATACAGCACAACTGTTGAAGTCAATTAGACTGATTCAGATACAATATTCTTAACCACAACCCTCGTATAGTTTGCTATGAGCAGGGCCATATGGAATCGGCGTGTGCAGAAATCCACAGATTTTCAGCCCGTCATTGAGTCTGTTTATTTACTTGTGTAAATCTGTGTAAACTTTTGTTTATTAAGTTTTTAAATTAGTTCAGTAATATTGACAAATATGAAGGTGTTCATTTGATTTATTTACATTACAGTTTGTAAAGTAGTATGTTCTTATACTCTCTCTCGCTCTCTCTCTCTCTCTCTCTATATATATATATATATATATATATGTATGTATGTATGTATGTATGTATGTGTGTGTGTGTGTGTATTATCATATATTATATGAGAGACTTGCTTTATTATCCAAATAAGTGGATCTAGATATAAATATATAAATACATTATATTATTTATTATTATTATTATTATTGTTATTGTTGTTCATAATCCATATCACATCCCATCATTTATTTTTTTATTAAAAGCTACAGTAGTGTGCATTTCTTTTCTCTTTAAGGTCATATTTTTAATTTGAGCAGAACTCATATCTAGATGGGCATTTACTATGTACTCATTATGTATTGTGTACACACTTTAGTGTCTTAGAGCTGTTTGCCGTAGTCAAACACACACATTAGAGCACAATGATAAGAGCTTCATCTTATGTTTAAACCACAGCAGATCAATAACCAGCCGTTTCCAGGCAACAAACCCTGCCGTTTCATTTGATCTTTACAGCAGTGTCATTGAGTGGCGCGGGTTGCCAGCGTAACCCCATTATTGCGCAATGGAGATTTCCAAATCGTTATCTGTGTTCTATCATAACGAGCGTGGCAGAATTAATTACACGCAATAAAAGACAGAGACAACAAAAGAAAGAACGCTGCCTGAATGAAACAGGATGCTGTTTGCTTGAGCAGATGTCTTGAACTTATATGGGCAAGAGATGGCTTGCGTTTCCACTAAACAAAAACAGATCTGTCATGAGTAGTACGCTTAAAATGTTTCAATCTGAAATCATAGCAAAGTTAAAAAAACAAACACAAATTCATTAAAATTACATGTTGTGGACAGTCGTTTAATTTGAATTAATTTGAATTAATTTGAATCTAAATCTAATCTGAGTGGAGCGCAAAAAAAATAAATCAATAAAAAATAAACCCAATTAGACCTTATTTAAAAAAATCTCATTGATACTCAACTGCAGGTAATAATTCTAAAGGTTACGGTATATTCTGTAAAATATTAACTTTAGTACCAGGTTATATAATAACCAGACAAAATGATGTCAATAAATTAGCATTTGTTCATTATTGATTATCTACATGCAAAGCGATCAAGACAAAGCATCTTTAGCAGAAAGAAATGAAACTGTTCATCGAATACAAGTCCTATTTAAGCATATTGTATATCTGTACACATGTTATTTTATACATGTGAGTTGTTTATGAATGTAAGTGGATGTCTACTGTACATATGTAAAGCCTGTGCCAAAAACAAGCCTAAAGGACGATAAAACGTTGCTAATTTACAATGTAAATCATTTTATATACTTTATATCTAACTATATATACACGAGCAATATCACACGAGTAGCAGTGAGATATGGATGTATATCGACACTGGTGGGAGGCGTGCGTTGGCACGAGGCCACAGGCCGAGTGCCTTAGTGCCCACACCAGTGCCGATATACAGCCATATCGCACTGCTACGAGTGTGATATTGCGTTTATACAACAGTTTGACGGCATAATTGTGTATATAAAAACTAAATCAAACATGGAGAGTCTCAAAAACCCTTTTGTATGAGGAACTACTTTCTTTCGAATTCAAATCATAAGCTGACAGTTAAACAGTTGAGCGTGCATCTTTTCAACTTTAGATCTGTAGTGTCTGCTTTTTGCTGGCTGAATATGGGCGGAGTAATACACAAAGGGTAAAGAGTAGGAGTTCTGATATTGCAGAATATCGCATAGCTATCAGCCAATCAGATTTGAGAACCAGACAGAACTGTTGTATAAAGTATAATATGAAGATGCACTTGACTTGACAGGTGAACTCAACTTAAAATTGTAAGGGAACTTGCTGCACAGATTTTTGAGCTGACTCAAAGTTCTGCACTTGACTTGATTTAAGTTGCGTCAATTTTAGTTTAGTTTGCACTTTCATATACAGCTGAAGTCAGATTTATTAGCTATCCTGAATTATAAGCCCCTGTGTTTATTTTTTAGGTAATTATAGATTTAATAACTCATTTCTAATAACTGATTTATTTTATCTTTGCCATGATGACAGTAAGTAATATTTGACTAGATATTTTTCAAAACTCTTCTATACAGCTTAAAGTGACATTTAAAGGCTTAACTAGGTTAATTAGGTCAACTTGGCAGGTTAGGGTAATTAGGCAAGTCATTGTATAATGATGGTTTGTTCTTTAGACTATTGAAAAAAAAAATTGCTTAAAAGGCTAATAATTTTGTCCTTAAAATAGTGTTCAAAAATTAAAAACTGCTTTTATTCTAGCCTAAATAAGACTTTCTCTAGAAAAAAAAATATTATCAGACATACTGTGAAAATTTCCTTGCTCTATTAAACATCATTTGGGAAATATTTAAAAAAGAAAAAAATTCAAAGGGGGGCTAATAATTCTGACTTCAACTGTATATTCTTTTTAAGTGTATTATTTCCTAAATCACACTTAGGGCTCTATTTTAACGATCAAGGCACAAAGTCTAAAGAGCATGACACAAAAGCATTAAAGGCGTGTCCAAATCCACTTTTAAGGATGGAAAAAATACACTCTGAGCAGTGGCGCATGGTCTAACAGGGTTGTGCTTATTCTCTTAATGAGTTCTGGGTATGTCTTGAGCATAACGTGCATTAAACCAATCACAGTCTCATCTCTCATTCCCTATAAGAGTCAGTTGCGTTGCGCCATGGGCATTTGCTATTTACATAGTGAACTCTGTAAGTAGAAAACTGAATGCTTCACTAGTGAGAAAACAGTTAAACAGATCATCTGCAGTGTGAGAATAAAGAACGAGCCTTCTCCATTCAGCCTCTTCACTTTCTCTTTACTTTACTTTTACTCTTCACTCCTTTACTTTCGTGGATAAGGAAACAGTGTTGTTCACACTCTACTGAAGGTATCCATTAGCCTACATATTTAATTTCATTTGTTGAGTGCAAAGATTTGTTTCAAAACTATTTCTAAATTCAGTTCTAATTTCCAGCAAATGAATAAATGAACAATAATAATGAAGTGTGTTTAAAAAAGCGAGTTATTTCCAAACACACGTCTTAGTCTCCTGCCCCATATGGTAATGATTACGTCTCCAAAACCCAACAGGTGAAAAAATCAAATTACAATTTTAATCCTTTAATTTTTCTCATTAGTAAAGATATTTGTGTATTGCTGTACATCATGTGTGTATTAAGCAATGCGTTTTGGACCTGCATAGGTGCTCAGTGCTGGACTTTAGACCAGCTTTTAGTTTGTTAATGGCGTAGGTCTATTTCAGTTCTTCAAAATAGCACAAGCCGACAATGCGCCTTAACACACCTCCTTTTTAGACGGGCACACCCATAAGTCCACAAAGTGGCGCAAATGGATCTGCTATTTAAACAACGTGGTGCAAAATGTGAAAAATAAGAGTTGCGCTGGTCTGAAAATAGCAACAAATCGAGCCATACACATCACATAGGGCCTTTAATCTTACCAATGTGTTATTTTCAGGTGGAAATCACCTACAGCCACAGAAACTTAAAATTTCTGGTTTAGTATTATAATTAATAGAGATTTGCGGCTAAATCAAAATAACAAATATAATATCTGTTGTGGTTGTCACACAGCAAACATCGATCTGGAAAAATCAGGTAATATATTTACCCCAAATTTGATTTGACTAAGCATAAAATTTCACATTAGGAGCAAGCAAAAACACAGCTGCTCTCTTTCACTGTCTCTCTTTAAGACAGGACAAAGCTTTATTTCAGCACACAAAAGCCTTCAATCACATTAAGCTTATCTCAGGGATTCCTTACTGGCCACAAAAACATACTATTCCTCCTAACCAGCATAACAAACCATCCATAACAAGTATCTACCGCAATTTTTCTGAAAGGGAAAATACTGCACAATGTCAACCATTCAATATGTCTGCGGTTTAAATGAAACAGGCAAAATCTTCTAAAGCTTATTTTAAAAAGATGCCTATCTCACTTTATCACATTTGACAACATTTAAAGGAATCAAAAAATAAAGGGAGAAATCACAAGATTCAAAATGGAGCCTTAATGATGTTCATACAAAGTTTAAGATCAGTGTGACATACTGTTTAGCCTCATTTGACCTAGAAAATGTCAAATTGGTGACTAAGCTAAGCTGCAATAACATGAAGCTTCTTTCTGAGAGATTACCAAAAAGTGGATTAAAAAAGTGGAAAAAAACGTCTTCTTGACGTGAAATCAGAGAGCAAAGAAGATTTTGTTCATAGCGCAGCCAGACATAACTATATTCTGGCATTATGCAAATATATTTTATGCTGGAAGTAAGGATGCTGGAATTACTGCTGACTAGTTTCGGACAGTTTACTTGTTTTTGGCACACTAGCTCCATTTATTATGCACTTTGAAACTTCACACTCACAAACAGTTACAATACACACAACATGAACTGAAAATGCTTGGAAGTTTGGATCATCAAGCAGCCTTTCACACTTTAAAATCTATGTGGAATCAAAATTGACAATGTTTTACAATTAAATACACATTGTTATTCTTTAGTTAAATCCACTCATTTTTTGTTTTTTTTTGTTTTGGTAATCTTTAATCAAATGTAGACTGTGTGGTCTGGTGGTTCTTCTCTCATGACATCAGTTTGATGGCTTCAGCCACAATATTCTTAACCATGCCCCTCTTAACATTAGTTTGGTTTGAGGCAATGATGCGCAAAAGCCCCGCCCCCCTACTCAATATTCTATTTCAGTTGAAAGTACATCAACATACTGAAATAACTCTCAGCAGCTTCCAGTTCATTCATTCCATCATTTTCCTTCGGCAAAGTCTCTATTTCAGAGGTCGCCACAGCGGAATGAGCTGCCAACTATTACAGCATATGTTTTACGCAGCGGATACCCTTCCAGCCACAACCTAGTACTGGGAAACACCCATTCACATACAGTACAAAATCATATACTACAGCATATTTATTTAATTCACCTATACCGCATGTCTTTGGACTGTGAAGGAAACCCATGCAAACATGAAGAGAACATGCAAACTCCACTCAGAAATGTCAACTGACTCAGGACTCAAACCAGCGAACCTCTTGCTGTGAGGCGACAGTGCTAAGCACTGAGCCACCATGCTCCATACTTCTAATTCACACAGAGTTTAAAAATAGCTGTCTATTCTTACATCAAAAAATAACATTTTGATCTTACCTAGATAAGTCACTCCTTCTTCAGGTGTGATGGTTCCATATTTGACCATCATCTTCACAAAGTCAATCAAGGTCTTCATGATGGTGATCAGGGTTTCCCTCTCCTCTTTATCTTGCTCTGTAAAGTGAAAACGCTGAAATGGAGCTTTAATCTGGATTACTGTGGTGTTTGCTAAAGTCAGCTGAAGCCACGGGAAATGTGTTTAACCATATGGTGATGTTTCTACAGACCTTGGCTATTGATTAACTGAAGGAGTAATGTTGTATTGCAGTCAGTCTAAATTTTCCATTTAGAATTGGTTTCCATAGTTACTGATTATGTTACCCACCTGTTCCTAGTTTAGCTCTTTTTTTCCCTGCATTTGTTGCCTTCGATATGGTTGGTTTTTATTGAGTGGTTTTTGGTTATTGCACCAGTCTTTGTTTTTTTTTTTTTTTTTTTTTTGTGTTGTTGTTGTTGTTGAAAATATCTTGCCTACCTGCAAGTATCTATGTTTCCATCCAAAGATGCAAATGACATTTTTGCGTAAAACTACAGTATCGCAAAAAACATTTGTGAATAAAGCACCGTTTCCATTCAAAAAGTTAAAGAGGACTAAATTGTTACTTCCTGATAAACTAACTGGTGCCAAATTGAATTTGCTATGTCAGGAGAAGCCACCATAAGGCTTTTTCCTTATATAATAAATTTACCTGCACCACAGAAGATGAAATGCTATGACTTGTTGCTTTCGGAGCAGAAAATTAAGACAGCTCTGGAAGGTAGTAATATGAATCACTTTCACCAAAACAACATTGAAGATATTTTACAATGTGGTCAATCCAGTGGTTTTTCCATTATTATCATCTCATTGTGTCCATTTCTGTTATCACACGATATGTTAAAAAGGTTTTTAAAAATGAACTTCCATGCAGTGTGTAACACAGCTCTACTTCAATGAAAACACCCAGCTATGGTTTAAATCTGAAAGTGCACCTTGTTTAAATATACTGAATTTTTAATAAAAGATTTACCTCAGGGTTGTTTAAATGATTCGTCATTCGTCCTGATTTGTACCTGTTCGTATCGACGTTGACACAAAACAATACCAAATATTAAGTGCCGAATCTGGTAAATTGTTAGCAGAGCGCAGGTGTGTGTGGGACTGATCATGACTGAAGATGAGTGAACATTAATGAGTAAATGTTCTGGTGATTCATGCAAAAATCTACCCTGCAACAGGGGATTCGTCGGCCATTTGTTAAAGAAGGATCTGAAAAGACTATTGATGTATGGGACTTTATCAGTACACAGTTCATGGATCAGTTTCTTCCAACATTTTAAAAGTGCAATTAAAATGGTTGCCTCCTTGTTTTCTCAAGCTTGCAAAATATGTATTTAATTGTGTTTTGTTACTTGTAATCTCTCCACGTAACTTGTACTGTATCTGGTTAATTCTTTATAGTCTCATATCGCATCTAAAGCCACGTTAAAAATTTTAAAAAATTGTTGTGTGCTGCTTACTTTACGGATATAAATGCGTTTGTGAGCTCACAATCTTCTGCCGTTTGTCATTATTATGGCCACTGTCAGGTGTTCCTACACCAATGCTGCGGTCAAGTTTTAGAATAGTTCAAATTTTGTTGCTGTGTGGATTAATACTGAATGTGTGTTGCTGTTGTTACTTATGGTTTAGAATAAAGCAATATGCTGTTGTTTAACTACAATGCTTTTTTGCACTCCTGCATTGGGCTCACACATACACTCTGCACTCTGACTACTTCAACAATGCTGACAAGACATGGTGGGCGTTTCTCTGTTTCGTGCTGAACAGTCGACTAATCACAACAGACTGGGTCATCGGAGTCGGACCAAACAGATTAGCATAGCGCTAACGAAGCGTTGGGATAATTATGTAAAAATATGCAAATTATAAGACAATGAAAGTGTTTTTTTGACCTTGCATGCATATCAGCTTGTTGTTGGAGACCCCCCAAACTAAAATTTAACCTTTTTAATGCATAATATGGGCTCTTTAAAACAAAATCCCATTACTTTTTTGATGTGCATGTTAAATGTGTATCCATCGTACTTAAAAAGGTGTTCAAAACTGATGTGTATTTTGGCATTTCATTCATTCATTATTGATCATTTGGCTTAGTCCTTTATCGGGGGTTGCCAACTTATCCAGCATATGTTTTACGAAGTGGATGCCCTTCCAGCCTCAACCCAGTACTGGAAAACACCCATAAACTCTCGCATTCGCACTCATACACTATGGCCAATTTAGTATATATATATATATATATATATATATATATATATATATATATATATATATATATATATATATATATATATATATATATATATATATATATATATATATATATATATATATATATATCGCATGTCTTTGGACTGTGAGGGAAACCGAAGCACCCATAGCGAACCCACACGAACACCGGGAGATCATACAAACTCCAAACAGAAACACCAAATAACCCAGCTAGGGCTCGAACAAGCAACCTTCTTGCTGTGAGGCGACAGTGCTAACCCCTGAGCCACCGTGCCGCCCTTTGACCATAAAGCTTTTTTATGCAACACTAAATGAATGGAAACATAGCTAGTGATCGTTGTATTGTATTCCTTTGATATAATTTGTGACATCTATTCTATATTTTGTATTAAACCTTTGTTATACTGTTTGCTTGTGTATTGTATTGTGTATTATGTTGTGTTGCAATACCTGAGTCGAGGCTCTTGAGGAGTCTGTAGAAGTTTGGGAAGAACTGAAGGTCCTGCAGTCCGTCTTCAGGGTTCAGTTCATTTCTGTCGTTCCCGTCGCTCACCGCATCCCATGAGTCATCCGACCTAACCGTATCATCTCTGCTCTCCTCCTCCTGTGGTTCATCACCATTAGCATCATCACCACCTTCATTCTCAACTTCATCCTCTTCATCAAATCGAGGACTAGGTCTGTCTTCCTCATCCTGGAGGGAAGAATCCAAGCAAATTACATTTTTACAAAATGACACAACACATGCTTGAGGTTACATTTTGTTCAATACACACTGCTACCTGTGTGTCTTTAGCTGCACTGACAGGGTAATCCACACTGCGATCTCCAATCATGTTATCTTTGGCGTTTTTGGTGATCAGATCCTGCAGAGCTTCGGCGACTTCATACTCCAGCGTCTCCGCCTGACTGTCTGTGATCTGAAGGACAAACAAAAGAACGCAGCACCTGCTAGAACAATCAATTCACATAGGGATAATTGCATGACAATCCATTTTCCATGCTATACGTGCTGGTTAAACTGGAATATGCTTCCCTGGAGCGATTAATACATTATGGATGATGTTTACTGCATGGCTCATCAATATAGCTGATGTCAGAATCACTGCTGATGCCACAGAGTTTCTTACCAGGCCGAGCTTCAGCAGTTTAGACACGATTCTGTCAAAAACTCCTCTGTCATCCTCCTCATAGATTTTGTTGGCGATTTTCTGGACGATGTCCTGAGCTGTTAACGGGGTTCCGTCCAGCTGCCGAAAACTTTCAGGGTCATCTGAAACCAAATGCACGAAAGCATTATAATTCACTATTGTTTTAAACATTTCACAAATTTTAATATTAAACACTGTCACATTAATGGCCAAAACTGTGTGGATGATTATTAACTATACATTAAACATTTTTAAATACTGTTTTAATTCTACGAGAAGAGCAAGATTGGACTATAATAATTATGATGTTATCAATTTTAGAAGTAGTTTTACACACTACATGTAAATGCATTATTTATTAATATATTAGTTCACGTTACTTAAAAGTTATCATTTAAAATATTAAATATGGGATAATGTACATCTAGCTGTTTGTATATATTTATGATGTGTGATATACACACATACATACAAACAAATCTGTACAAAACCTTTTTATGTGAAAATATTAAAATGAAAATATAATTTGTATCAAATAAATATACTTTTTATAGTCAAGATCAGAGATACACAAACTAGAGCCTGCGGGCCAAAGTTGGCCCATGGTAACCTTTGATTTGCCCCACCATCCCTTCTGAGAAGAGAGGGAGAATGATGGGGAAGGTTAAGAGATTTTGTCTTTTAACTTTTTATTTAAATGTTTTATTGTTAAGCTACAAAAAAATCTTACTTGAAATTGAATGTTTTCATTTAAATGGTTTGACTGAATTTGATTTAGTTTAAAATTAAAAAATCACCCGACGGATAAATGACAATGCAAAGACTTTGGTGAGCGAATCAAGGCAAATGCAAATTCTGCTTGATTAGTGTATTCAGCAATGAACTTTACTGTTATGAATGTGAATGTTTTTTTTTTACATTTTATTGCAAGTTATGATTAAAATAAAATCCACATTAGGTAATATTATTCAAATTAATATTTTCTATTTATTAATAAATATTTTGAAATGAATTAGGGAATTACTTATTGCAACTTTAGTGTAAAATAGATTGGTATATTTAGCTCAGTGAAATTAGGTTTTTGGCCCATCATACGAAAAAATTTGGCCACCACTGGTCAAGATGATTTGAAGTACCCTGATGAACGTGTTATTAGTTTTACTGGTTGTTATTAAAGAATAACATACTTTAAAATGTCATGACTGACCAATCAGAATCAAGTATTCCAGAGAGCTATCTAATAACTAACAATGAAGGTTACTTTTGGTTATTCATTCATTCATTCATCCATTCATTTTCTTTTCGGCTTAGTCCCTTTATTAATCAGGGATTGCCACAGCAGATTGAGCCGTCAACTTATCTAGCATATGTTTTATGCAGCCGATGCCCTTCCAGCTGCAACCCAACATTGGGAAACACCCATAAACTCTTGCACTACAGCGAATTTAGTTTATTTAATTCACCTATACCGCATGTCTTTGGACTGTGGGGGAAACCAGAGCACCCAGATACAAACGCAGGGAGAACATGCAAACTCCACACAGAAATACCAACTGACCCAGCTGGGGCTCGAACCAGCGACCTTTATGCTGTGAGGCGATCGTGCTACCATCTGTGACGCCCTACTTTTGGTTAATTTTAACAAATGTTAACAAATATGACCCTTTGTAATGTGTTATCAAAGCAGTGCCCCAAATGAAAGAAAATTTACCAATGAACACTTTATTTTATAAATCCACTCAGCATCACTAATACCACAGTCTCTCTTCTTTCATTTTGTAAAGTGAGATTGTTAATTTTAGATGACAAATAGATAATATCCATTAATACTGTTTCTGGCAATAGAGTGCATTAGTGCCTGAACAATGGTTCTGTCAGTGTTTTTCCATTCGTTTTTCCCACAGGGATGTTAAAGTCTTAGTAAAAAGCCACACACAAAGCAAACCATGTAGTGAATCACTTTAGAAACTTTTATTTTGAAGTAAATCAGCCAAAAAGGCTATATTAAAATACTGTATTAACACCTGTGTGCCTTTGGGGATGTTTTACTCTGGAATGATTTTGAGTATTAATTTGTCCACAACTTTCAGCAAATGGAATGGTGGTTGATAGGCCGATGGGAGGTGTAGCGATCAGCTAGTGAAGAGAGAGCTGGTGCTGTTGGTTTTAGGCGGCAGGCCAGAGTCACGGTGGCTGGCCAGTTTGACCGTCTGGCAACCGGGAAATGTCCCCGTGCACCCTATGGCCAGTCCGCTTCTAATTGTAACCACAAGGGAGTCGAGTGACAACGGAGTGATCCTTATGCAGGTTTTGTTAAGAAACGTAGTCAGATAGGCAATGATCATAAACAGGTACTAACGGGTACAAACAAGGCAATCTAGAGGCGATGTCGGGTAACAGGCAGGTGGTCAGTTCAGGCAGCAGACAAAGCAGACAAACAACAAAAGGGTAAATGACAAAACAAAGCAAGGGTCGGAACATTATACAAGGAAACGCTTTGTAATGTTACAGCGTTTTAACCAAACAAAACTCAGCAATGAGCAGCTTCAGCTCAAAGGAGACTTGGAGCAGGTGTGTGTATGTGTGTGGTGCATGACAGGGCTTTACAGTCCAACAGTAGTTTATATGGACACAGGGTTGTGGTCCGTGTGAATGTAAATTCTCCAGCGATCTATGAGGGTTGATCATGGTGGTCATGACAGCTATGTTGGTGGCTTTTTCCCCATTGATACCCATTATAATGGTATTTTTGGATTGCAAAGTCATGACACCTTATTATCATACATTCTTGATTGTTGCTTGTTTTACTTCATAGAATTCCATATAAAAGCCAGAAACGCTTGTGCACAGGCCTGTCTAAAGGGTTAATGATGCCAACTGATGATCAACAGTAAAAATGACACATTTTACCTCTTCCCAACAGGGAAAACCAACAACAATCAAGAATGATGTGTGATCATATGGTGTCATGGCTTTGCAATTAAAAATTTGCATTAAAATGGAAGTCAACGGGGCAAAAACAGCCACAAACAGAACAAAAGGGCAGCACATTTGAACAGCACACAAGGGTTAAATGTTTCTAAATTCTAATAAAAAACGAAGAACATTAACTGAAATGATTAAGCTCAAAGCTTTTAAAAAGCCAGACAAAGCATGAGCAGAATGTGTGAAAAAGAGAAGTGAACATTTGAGCTGGGATTTGCCAGAAACTCTTGTTTGTCTGTTGTAATTCCAGTTAAAAGTGAAATAACACAAAAACACCTCCCACCATGCTATCTGCTATTATCTACCACAGAGATCCACTTACACTGCCTTGATCGCTTCCAGTAACTCACCATCTGCCTGAAATGTGAGACTGATCAAACATCTGATGCTTATTCTGTCACAAAAAAAGTCAGTGGTCTTACATGGTTTAGGCATATTTATAAAATGACAGTAATAAGGCTAAAAATAAGACCAAAATGAGGCATACTAAGTGTTAATTGTTAATGGGATAGTTCACCTGAAAATGATAATTTACTCTCACTCAAGTGGTTTTAAACTTTTATAAATTTCTTTCTTCTGTTTGAACACAAACCAAAATCTTATCAAGAATGTTGGAAAAAACTGCCATTTACATCCATGTAGGAACAAAAATACTATGCAAGTCAATGGCACTTTTTTTTTTAAACATTCTTCAGTATATTTCTATTTGTGCACAACAGAAGAAAGAAACTCAAAAAGGTCTGGAATGAGTAAATGATGAAAGAATTTACGTTTTTGAGTGAATTATCCCTTTAAATTTTTGAAATTGAGCTGTGAAAGCAGCTTGTGCTTAAGATTTCTGACATCAGATGAATAAATTTACACATGCCATGTTGACATGTTGCATGTCAGCAACATTCATTCAGCATTCAGAAATATGGTCCAGTGTCAGTGAGGTGTTGTGGAGGATTTGCTATTCCTAAACACCAGAAGAGCTAACCAATAATATTTGATAAGGTTTATCAGAGTTAGTAACAAGCAGCTGAAGTTTGTTTTAACGTAAAATATAAAGTAAAAGTATGTACTTTTTTGTTTTTTGCTTTCTGTCATCTTTGCAGATGCACTAGATGGATTTCTATGTTTGTTTGGGCAGCTGAAGTTTAAAATCTTCTGCTTTGTAGAACATAAAACTCTGCAAATCCTTTGGAACAATCCCAATGTAAAAAAAAATTAAGCAGCTTAAAGAGATAGCTACCAAAAAATGTTCATTCTTGTCATTCTTTACTTACCCCTGATTTATTTATTTATTTTTTTGTTCTGTTGAACACAAAATAAGAAGTTTATTAACATTTATTAAATGTTGGAAACTGGTAAGCATTGATATCCATAGTAAAAAATATATATATATACTATGAATGTGAATGGTTCCTAGTTTCCAACATTCTTTAAAATATCTTCTTTTGCGTCACAAAAAACTCAAACTGGTTTGGAACAAGTCGAAAATGAGTAAACAAAGAATATTCATTTCTGGCTGAACTAACCTGTTTCCTTTATACTTAAAATACCTGAAATTCTTTTAAGCAAAAGCATATTTTGCAATGTGTAGCACCTACAACTGAACAGATACATTAGAAGTATCCCAATTAGAAAAATAAACAAGCAAAAATTAATTCTAAGGTAAAATTTAGTAAAGGGGCGACATAGTGGCTCAGTGGTTAGCACTGTTGGCTCACAGCGAAAAGGTTGCTGGTTTAAATCCTGGCTTAGCCAGTTGGCATTTCTGTGGGGAGTTTGCATGTTCTCCCAGTGTTCGCGTGGGTTTTCTCCAGGTGCTCTGGTTTCCCCCATAGTTCAAAGACATACACTATCAGTGAATTGGATGAACTAAATTGGCTGTAGTGTACGCTTCCGTCGCACCAACACGTTCGCAAAAAAATACAAACAGCCCCGTTTACACTAATACCTCTTAAGAAGGTCAAACACCAGAAGCACCTTCTGGTGGCATGCCGCATAACGCCACACAGCGCCATGCATTTCAGAATTCTAAACATGGGTTTCTATCAGGGTACACACATCAGGGCAGCAAGTCGGCGGCTGTCCGCAGCACTCAGCCACGACTAAGGACACTGTTGGCGCATCCGGTGTGTGACCCCCTTTATTTTTAAAATGACATTTCAGAACAAAAAGGTTCCACGTCCACACTGTCGTCTTATCTACCACTTCTGAAAAGCCCTCCTTCCACTCTATACCGCTGAAAACACACATCACGTGACCACACACACACACAAACACACACACACACACAGTCATGGGCTGCAGCATACACGTGTGTCTGAGCTCCTGCAGTCAGCGGGCCTGCTGAGCATAAAACCCCAGAGAGCAGTACACATCGGAGTTTATCAAGGATGTACCACTGGATTGCGTCTCACTATAGTTGTTAAACATAATATTTAACGACTCTTCTGTCTTTTAAATCTATCAGGTAACATGTCACAGCATCAGTACACTGCTTCAATCTTTCGGTTCCATGCTTGTACTTAGTAATTTTAACGAAAACCTTAGATACTGTTGGTTGGTTGCTGTTGGTTGTGCACCTTTTTAACTAACCAAGTTTGTCGACGCCATTATAACGACAGATAACTCTGCCTATTCATACCAGAGTCCTGCGGAAAAAGTGATTGACAGGTGATGATTTGTCTGTAACTTTATTTATTTATGATTTGATAATGGGTAAAACAAAGACCATGTAGGTCAGGTAGTTGAAACGGTAGGCTACAAATACTTAGTTCATTATAAATAATTAATTATTTATAAGCCGCCTACGACAAAGATGCCATCGTCCATCGCGATGTTTCACATTAGACATCGCACGGTGCCAAATTGATCGACATCGCCCAACCTTAATTTGAATAAAGTGTATATTTATATGTCATAAAAATATTAACTGTAAAATACCAATATTTATTCATTCATTCATTATCTTGTCAGCTTAGTCCCTTTATCGCCACAGCAGAATGAACCGTCAACTTATCGAGCACGTTTTTAAGCAGCGGATGCCCTTCCAGCCGCAACCCATCTCTGGGAAACATCCACACACACACATTCACAAACACATACTCATACACTACGGACAATTTAGCCGACCAATTCACCAGTAGCGCATGTCTTTGGACTGTGGGTGAAACCGGAGCACCCGGAGAAAACCCACGCGAACGCATGGAGAATATGCAAACTCCACACAGAAATGCATACCAATATTTAATTGTCATAAAAATAAATCATTGATGTTTTAGCTCCACTAAACTTAGAGTGTTCTCAGGGAGAGATGAAATGTTAAAAGTGATTATGGCATGACCTCTCGGAGCTATTATTAGATTTAGAAGGATTTTTTAATGTGGGTGAATGTTTAGTCTGTCTGTCATGTTGTAGGAGACTGTGAGGGTTTAATGCTATAAAACATCCAGTGCAGCAGCTCGTGGAGGGATAATCCTCCGCCTCTCTCTCTCTCTCTACAAAATACCTCCTGATTGACCTATGCTGTCTGCCACCTGTTCCTGTATTTAGGATCACATACAGTCACTGAGGGGGATTACCACTTTCCAAGTGGAAGAAAACATGGCCTTTGATAGGTCAAATTAAAATCTTAAAACTAAAACTCTTCGTGGATATTTTTTCTGGTTATAAGTTGCTTATTATGCCATTTAGAATACAACATCTCCTCAGAGCAAACAATTAAATGTAGAATTATTCAGTTTTTCTTACAATGGAGTGCCCTGGAGGGATGTGTTTGACCATTGTGCTGATGTGTTGTGTCTTTTGCTGTTTCTCAAAAATGAGACAATGTTATAAATGTTTAAGTTCAAGATAAGAGTGGTTCAATCGCATCTCTTGCCCTTGGATTTTTCCCTTCCACTTACATTGTCTCTTGTTCTGTTAAAATCTGCATACTGTCTAGATATTAAGCAACATATTAGGTAGTATGCAAATATAATCAGACAAACAGTTGAAGGCCAAATTAAGAATTACTTTAAAATATTTCCAAAGTGATGTTAATGGAGAGAATATATACAAAACATAGCTGGGTTCATTTTTAAAATGAAATTTTGTAGCACAAATGTAACCCTTTTTTTGGATTGGTCCATGTTTTGTCCAATTTTGGATTTAAATAGCATAGCATTTTTTAGAGTGAACTTATTATAGTGATTTCACATTCATAAATGTTATATATGTTACAAATGTTAAATAACTAAGGATATATGAATTAGGGTTGGGTTGATAGACGATGGCATCGTACATAGCCGATGGCAGATAGACATCATGATGCTGAGCTGAAATCGCGACCCCTCAACTAATACCCCGCCCTCATCGCAGCAACCAGTAAAATACACACAGCCACGTTTACACAAATACATCTTAGTTTTAAAATGGCATTTTAGAATGAAAACGATCTACACTGGCATTTCATCTAGCATTTCAGATTTCTAGCCTTCCACACTATACCACTGAAAACGATATGAAAATCACATGACCACACACAAGCACACACACACGCACAGTCATGCAACAGGCCTGCTGAGCACAAAACCCCAAAGAGCAGTGCATGTTGGACAGTTTATCAAGGACATACAGTTTAAATGCAAAACTATCAATTATTTTAAAATATTTCCAAAGTGCTGTTAATGGAGAGAAAAATGTATTTCACACATTTTCAATAACTGATTTCTAATAACTTATTACTTTTTTCTTTACCATTTCTATTGGTACCATGTCTCTGTCATAGATATTATTTCACTAGTTATTTTGCAACATACTAATATTCAGCTTAAATAATAATATTCTAAGCTTTTCACTCATCATAGCACACGTGCTGCTGATGATGTGACAATAAAAGTCATTTGATTGATTTGATCAAAGTGCAATTTAAAGAATTAGCTAGGTTTGTTTAAGTTAACTAGGCAAACTTGAATTATGCAAGTCATTGGACAACAGTGGTTTGCTCTGTAGCTAAATAATAGTAAAAATATTAAGAGGCTAATAATAATAATATTAATTATTCCAGCCAAACTTTAAGAAACATGACTTTCTTCGAAATAATAAAATATAGTAAATACTAGAGGTATGAACCTACAATGGTCTCACGGTTTGGTTCGGTTACGATTATCATGCCATCGATTCGGTTCAATTTGATGTCTTGGTGCTTCACGGTGCATTGACGATACTTTCCATATATACACAGTTTTATATATTTTTTTCACTGCACAGCAAATTTTGTATTAAAATGTATCAATATATTTATATTTATATATTAATACAAACAGTCAGATATATAAACTGTACCTTTAAACAACACAAACATTTAGAGCAAATCAACAAATATAAATATCCCGCTCGCTTTCTGAGCCTTGTCTAGCAAGTTCTTTCGTACACCCCTTTGATTGGTCACGCGCTCAACAGAAAGGGCTGCTATTGGCTCTTAGGCGCTGGCGCTCTTCACAGATGAGTGACACTGACAAACGGCAGCAGCGATCACAGCTGATCCATGATAGATACGGTGGAGAAAACTCTGCAGACACGCGCTCGTGTCTCTATCCAGAAGTATCGCTGTAACAGCCGAAAGGAGGGGAAAAATCACACCAGCATGTCAAATGGGCCACCGTGACAGTGAGAGAGAGAGAAATGGAGTTTACATTCATTCTCTCAATCGCAAAGAAATAGGGGCTTTTGCTGTAAGTGTCAGTAAAAGACTGTCTAGCAAACACACACGCAATGAAATTGTGCACAGTTTCTGCGTTTTTAAGTAGTTGGAGCTTTGTAAATACTCGCGTTCGCCTCCCTCGCCATAGTAAGCTACCACAACATAGAGCATATGAGATAAATGACATCAGTACATAATAACTGGTTAGAATTATTACTGAACCAATACCGGTGTCCGCGTCTGCAATGCGGTGCACCGAAGAAACAATTAATTTTGACACTTCTAGGAAATACTGTGGAAAACTCTATTTATTAACAATATTTGAGAAAACGACTAAAATTTCTCAGGAGAGCTAATAATTTTTGCTTGTATATATTGAGTATATAGTTGTTTTTATATAGTTTAATGTTATTTATTTTAGTTAAATATATTTAGTTTTTTTTACTTATTTAACGTACTATATTATTGTTTGGAAATAAAATGCAGATTCTAAAAATAATGACTAATTAACATCTGGTACATTCAGTACACTGGAAAGACCAAGCACATTTCATTGTGGGCCAGTTTTACACTCACACGGTGCTCTTTGGCAGAGTAAGAAGGTCATCCGATGAATCCATGCATATTTAAATATGTGTGCGGAGAACATACTGAGTGAAGTATGTGATTCCAAATAACTGTTTTAAATATGGTAATTGTAGTTCTTACACTCATAAAATGATGTTTGCTGTTTATTCAAACTACTTATTTAAACTGAGCTAAAACAACACAATTTTGAGGACAACTTAATTGTATTTTCTTCAATCCACTTAAAATTTATAAAAAACTAATGTAAACCTCATTCATGTTGTCTCAACAAAAATCAATTGTGTGGAACCCAGCATTTTTTACAGTGTACCTTGATATTTGTAGTCCATCCCATTCTTCGTGGAGTCATAGTCATCAGCCAGTCTTCTGTTCTTGGTAGAGTCGGTGTCATCAGCTCCCAAACGCTCATTTGCAGAATCTGAAATGGGAGTTTCGTTGTTCGACTCTTTGGATTTCTCTGCCAGAGCTTTGAGGAAAGTGATGTCATCGTCCTCTGAGTTTGTTTCCTCCTCAGCTGGCGGTGTTGGCTTGGATTCTGCAAGGATGAACGGTAAACTGAGCTACTGAGCTTCTATTGATCACTGTGAAGCACTTTGTCTGCGAAAGATTGTTTCTCACCTGTCTTCCTGATACTGTCAGCTTCTGCAATCTGTTAAAAGACATTAAATATGCATATTTAAATGCTTTGTTTGAACCTTATGCATAAAATGTCAGCTGTATTCTTATTTCCAAGAAAATGCTGGGTTTTTCTGATGCTAAACTGAGATTTCTGTGTTTTATGACAAAGTTAAGATTAGCAAAATCACACCTGCTGTTCTAAAGGCTTCTCTTCAGTCAGCTCACGGTTGTACTTGTCTAGATAAGGAGAAAAATTAGACACGCATTAAATAAAAGCAAAGATACTTTGGTCAATGCTGAGTCAATGCAAATGATATTCAAATTTCAAAAAGAAAGAAAGAAAGAAAGAAAGAAAGAAAGAAAGAAAGACAGAAAGAAAGAAAGAAAGTGGATGACGTGGGGTGAGTTATCATTACAGAATTTCCATTTTTAGATGAACTACCCCTTTTATACGGTATACTGCACCACTGAATAATAAAAACACTGCAGTATCACTACAGTATCAGGCTCAGATTACAATTGATTGGTTATTACTTTGTAACTACAATGTAAAGATACTGTAATAATGTTTTTGTTGTTGTTGTATTGTTTAAAAAACAAAATGTTTACCTTTATTTTACATTGCTCTTGTTACAGAGTAGCTGTACATTATGCTTTGGATTAGAGCTTACAGACACTGCATGCAACTATTTTTAATTTACCTTAATGATTTCAATACGTTTAACATGTAAAGACTTAAAAATATATATTTTTGCAAAAAAATAAAAATAAATAAAAATCTGTCAACTCATTTTCTATTAAAGTGTATTAAAGTATTAGTGTTTTGATTTTGACGGAATGGAGATGATTGATACATTATTAACTTTTGCTGTGTTATTATTATGCGTTTTCTTTTACACTGTGAAAACACAATCGATTTGTAATGGGACAACATGAAGGAATTAACTTGTATTTTTTTATTTACGTGGATTTAACTTAAAACAATTAAGTTGTCTCCCAAAAACTCAAGAATTGTGTTGTTTCAGTGTATTTTCTATAAGTAGTTTGAACAAACAGCAAATGTCTATGGCTGTTGAGATATTCGATTTATTCTATTGCAGTCCAAACTGTCCGAGAAAAAGCTGCCACCAAATAATCAGATTACAGAGCAAATGTTCAAATGTTTACAGACACTGTATGCAACTATGTTTAATTTACTTGAACTATTTTAGTCAGTTTAACATGTAAAGATTTAAAAAATTAAGTTTTACTCCCTGAAACAACAATTCAGCCAACTGATTTTCTATGTTAAATTGAAATTTTATTTTTAAAGGAATTAAGGTAATTTATACTATATTAATCTTTGGTGTGCTATTGTTGTGCATTTTCATCATTTCTGTATGGTTGTTGAGATCTTTGATATATTCAGTTGCAATCCAAACTGTCTGATGAAAAGCTGCCACAGAATAATCAGATTACAGGACAAAAGATTAAAGACATTTGAAAACACACAGTCTAAAGCTTCCTATGCAATAAAATTGTAAAAACAACAACAAAACAAACCATTCAATTTATCCTCCTTTATCTCGCAAGTGAAAAATTAAAGTTTTTTTTTTATTTCTTTTTGTCAACAAATAATACAAAAGGTGCTGTAATTACATAAAACAGAAAGTAACACACAGAATAAACTTCAAATTGAACGATTTCTTTGCTATATTTGTTAATCGGTCACGTGTACACTTTTTACGTATCAAAAAAATTATGTTTTATATTAAAATAACAAATTATTAAACCTATATCTATATATATTTATCATACATTCGAATAAAATTATAGTTCTATTATGATTTAGGCTATATAATTCAAGCAGAACACCCGTCAAATTTAAATATGGCATATTTTAAAATATACATTACATGCTTAATATGTTACAACATATATTAGACCGATGTTTTGAACCAAAGGCTCTTTAGTTTTTCAGTAACTCACCGTCGGGTCCGGCAGGTGTGGGAAACGCGTTGATATGCTGACAAACTAAAGCAAGGACCACCACAAACCCTAAGCGTTTTGACGCCATCCTCCAGCTTATGTCGGAAACGTGTAGTTTTGCGATGTTTTTATCCCTCTGTTGTCCTCCGTAAACACGAACGCGCTGCTGGTTTGGTTTCGTGAGCGCGCTGCTGTTGGCTGGATGCCGCGCGCGAAGGCTTTAGATGCGCGGGAGCTGTTGAGTCCCTGCAGTGCTGAAACCAGGTCGCTGGCTATAATTAACAGAGGATAAGCTGATGGAGCTCCTCGTGTATAACGGGCCCCTGACTCCAGTAGCTCATGGATGGAGGAGGTGGAGATGGAGGGCGTCACGGTCACATCCGCCCATGTGCGTCAGTTCGAAGCACCTGCGTCACGCGCATCTCGCATTCATTCATCCTGCGGGGCGGTAAACGACCGACCGATGAGCGCCATGGGGAGCAGATAAGTGACCAGACAACAATCTGAAAACTGCAGATTTATGACAGCGCAGATTGAAATGCAAATTACAGACATGACCTGCTTTGTGAAGCCTAATCCACTATTAGAACCGTGCTGTGCTTGTGTTTGCAGATAATTCTAGGCTACATAACCTATATAGATGAATACTTGTTAACATATATAATATGTTATATAATATATATAATAACATAATAGATGATATAAACTTTTTACTTCACTGAAAATTTTTAAGTATTTTCTATTGCATTTGCTGCAATAATTCTATAAAAAACATGTTGCCCAGGAAATAAAGGTAGCTACAGTTTATTGGACACAGTGACCTTTTTATGACAGGAAATGGTCTAAAATGTCACCTTGGCAACCTACCATAAATAGCTTTTCACCCATATAAGCTTTTTAACAACAAGAAACAATTTTGAAATAGTCATAAAACAGTTGAAAGTGCTCATATTAAGCTTATTGGAAATATATATATATATATATATATATATATATATATATATATATATATATATATATATATATATATATATGTATGTATATATATATACCATATATATATCAATGCAATCTCACGGCAATTCGTAACTTTTTGCTTTAGTGGCTAATTCGTATGAATTATGTATCTAATTTGTACAATTTAGTACAATTTGCTTATCACCCAATGAAGGTTGGGGTTAGGGGTGGGGTTGGGTGCCACGCCTCTTTTTTAAAATCGTACATTTTCGCACGACTAAACTCGTACAAATTCGTACGAATTAGCCACTAAACTGACAAAACATAAAATACTTATGTTTCATCGTTAAATCAGGCTGATACACACACACACACACACACACACACACTGTAAAATAATGTCTGACAATGTCTGACTGTTTTTATGGTACTTAATTTCTTTATTGGTAGCCTAATTGATGTGTTAATCAGGTTTCCATTTTTTCCACTCCATTTTTTTTAGCTAATGATGTGGAGACGTCTGATAATCAAGTTAAGCAGGAACCGCGAAAAACGCCCATATTGAGCAGGACTTTGAGCAGCTTTCTAGTGCGCACCACCAGCAGGGGTAAAATGTGCTTCTGGCTTTTATGTGTAATATGTCTTAACGTTATAGCCTTTGTCTTTCGTGCATTATGTTAAAACTTCACATGAATATGTGTGCTGAGGACTTATGCATTATTTGTGCTTTAAAATATCTGTTATCGTTACATTCTTACAAGTAGGCCTACGTGCAGTGACCAATGTATTGACTGCATTTATTTAGCAGTTAAATTAGCCCAGGTGCTAATGTTGCATTATTAACGAAATAAAAGTGTTGACAGTGCATATGTTTTGCACTAAAATTGATCATCTGTAAAATTGCAATGTTTTTGCAGTGTGTTATGAGCTGTCAAACAGCACATGTATATATTTCCTGCAAATAAATAGCAGATTGTGGCATGTTGCAAAACATTAGCATCTTGTGTGTTATTGATAATGTGAACAGCGATGATGTTAACTCGACTTTGATAACAGAAAAAATCTGAAGTTGTTCAACCCCTAATATATATATATATATATATATATATATATATATATATATATATATATATATATATATATATATATATATATATATATATATATATATATATATATATATACATAATATCCTCACACACACACTTTCTATTCTGTCATTGGATATCAGTTAGTAAAAATGGCATTTTTCTTTGTGTGTTTGCAATTGAGAGGCTGTGAGTTGCACATATCACGATGACTTGTTAATCCAGACTTTCTCAATCTTGTTAGTGGAGGCACAACAACACTGGAGGAACACATTTTCCAAAGCATCCCAATCAAACACACATGATTGAACTATATACTCAAAATGGGCCTGATAAAGAATATATCCTGAATGTGTCAGTGGCTTCCAGGAATCGCTGTGTAACTCAGTGTTCAGCAGCAGCTCCTGATTCCCTCTGCAGGACACACATGCCTTGTGTCAGTGACATGTGACCTCCAACAGCTTCACCAAATAAACACTTATCACCCTTTCACGTGTCACGCTGACAGAGAGCAATGCATATGTTGGATAGGATCTATAGAACACTCAAAATTATCCTATTATCCTCTTTTTTGAAAAGAAATACTATTGACTGATATTTTGAGAATTTGTAGACTTTTAAAGTTATCAGTAGTTCATGAAATAACACACAAATTAGCATTTCACTAGTTTAACAAGTCTCTATTAAATGCACGGTCAGGGATTGTTGGTTGCAACACAGGCTCATTCTGAAAACGTAGTCCCACCGATGTTTCAAGACCACGAAATATGTAACTGGAGGTACATATGTCTGCATTTCATTTTTTTAAACGAGTGCTACGGGGTGGTATGACGGCGTTCCTTTTTGCTTTTACCGGCTGACTGCTTACCTCTGTGTGGAGTGCTTTCCCGCTGCAACCAGTTTGTCCAGTTAGCTTGTCATGTATGTCAGCGGCCTTGAGACGCAGAGAGGAGTTGACCATGACGACAGAGTTCAGGAAAGAGCGGTTTAAGAAATCAGGTAAGAGAAAATCAGAATACAAAAAGTAAAGTGAACAAGTTCAGAGCAGGGTGAGAATGTGGTAAAATCTGAACGCATGGTAAAAATCAGACGAGGGCTTTTGTTTACTTTCTTTTGTAAATTGTCGTTTGGGTTTAGGGAAGTAAGCGAGTGGGCAGATAAATCGATAAAATTGGTTGGGTTAACATCCAATTCACACGGGGCTTCAGCGTCAACGCTTGACAGAGGGCGTGTCTGAAGTTGGGGCTGGTGCGATGGAAATAGCAGCGTCAGCCAATGAAATTAGACAGCAATAGGCCACAGTCTGAGCTGGTGTATTTGCATACAGCGATCTTATCGGCTGACGCTTCCGTCGTCGCTTGAAAAGTTGAGAAAGTCCCAACTTTCCCGGCGCCGACGGATCTACAATGTAGTTCGGCAACGCCTGACGTCACGCATTCAAAATGAATGGGAAGCGTTGACGCTGACGCCCCCTGTGAATGGGGCGTTAGGGAAGGACAAGGGTGGGTCAGTCGATTGGTTTGCCGGCCAGTCAGTCATCCACTCATTCAGTCAGTCAGACAGATGGTTGGTCGACAGAGGCCTCTCGTGGGTTTACGCAAGAACAGCGGGCGCGAAAGAAATTTGAGATACGAAAAAGCGCACACAGCGGCCTCTCTTGGATTCGCGAAAACGAAAACTGCAAAAATACATACCTCCTGGGATGTATTTCACAGTCTTCAGAAACATTTATGGGACTACGTTTTCAGAATGAGACTGGGTTGGATTAATTTGTGCTGGAACAATAACTTTGAAATCTGATTCGCTGTGCCGGATTCATTACCCTGATCTCTTCTTGGAACTCGCAATTAACAAATTAAGCACTGGGCGCGATATATAATTTAGCAGCTAGAGGGCGCACATTCACAACAAACAAACATGTATTTTGATGATGCCGTGACTCAGTGTGGAATCATGGGATTTGTAATGCAGAAATCATGTTCAAGGATGGGTTAAAACAGTGGTTCTCAAAAGTTTTTCATCAAGTATCACCTCAAAAAAAAAAAAAAAAATTAATAAATAAAAAATGTCTCTTCAAGTACCACCATAATGACCAGGCTGATTAATTCCTATTACTAAGAATATTCATTATTGTCAGCCACTTCAAACATTATAAATAGTTTGAACATTAACACTGTACTGTGCTTATAGGTAAAAAATAAAAATAAATAAATAAAAAGTCAACGTTAAAAATTGTGCTTTTAAAATAAAATGGTAGGCTACTGTTTTTGAAGCAAAAAGAAAACTGCTATACTTAAATGTAAAGTGTTAACAAATAGTAACTTACTCATCAAAACCAGGAAACATTCCTTGGACCTCATAGATATAGGCTATATGTCATCACATACAAACCATTTTTGAAATATTTTGAAATATAAGTTGCATGTACACATGACATATTTGTATATCTTTGAAATCTAAACATCAACTTGTATTTTAAAAGAAGATCTGCTTACTGCGCGTCAAAAGTGAGTGATTTCATCATACGTGATTTATCCATTTATATGCGTGGAATTTCTGTGATTTGAGATCTCATCTTAAGTGGACCATGGAGTTTGCGTCAACCGCACACAGCTATATTCTACCTTTAAGCCTCAAGCATGGCAAAGTTGCTTGAGTCTATGTTCTGTGTCCTGTAGCATTTCAATCACTTCCAGATGAATTAGTCTAAATCTAACGTAACAAATATAGTTACTTGTAACTAATACAATCGACTCAATTTGTTAAAAGATATTTAAATGATTCATTTAATTAATTCTAGATTCAAAATTAAAAGTAATTATTTAAAATTTAATTACTTTATTTAGGAGTGTTAGATATTAAGTACGTTTGACAATGTAAACAAGGTAATTGTGCTCGAATTTAAGATTAGTAAAATGTAGTTGGATTTTTGCTTGTGCAAGTAAATCTAAAGAGTCATTTTTCTCAGTGTGGTTGACAGTGGATATTGTGTGTGGTCTGTGGTCTTTGTTTATTCACATGAGGGATTCTCTTTTCACCTGCCATAATCGCATCAGGATCTTACTTTCACACACAACAGCAGATCTTCACAGTTCTCAGAGCAGCTGCATATTTCTTAAAGATGCTTCTAGTCTTCATTTACACTTTTTTTTTTAACATTATCATTCTTGGTGTGTATTTGTGTGTTGATATATTGTATGTGTATGTTTGGAGCAGACGGTTCAGTGTCTGTAAAAGTGGGACAGAGGTCAGTGGCTCTTCT